CGACTGCAAGCAGTTTATCACCGGCTTTACAGAATGTTTCCGGAAGGTTCGCTGGGAGTGCAAGGCATGCATCTCGCGGTACAGCATGCAAGGTTGAGATCCGGTGATGTTACTGTAGTGGACATGCGGTGAAATTGGTGCGCTGCAGAACAGCGGTAGCACAAAGCATGCTAGGACACCGCGTTCGACGACTGGGCCGGTTGACCATGGCGGGAAGCAGCTCAGAGCTTGCGTCTGCGAAAGAACAGCAACTCAGTGGATGATGCATCAATCAAGACTGTAGCCATTCATTGCAGCCCCGCAGTTCCGAAGCCTAGCATTCTGAAAGTAATCATTTTAAAGCTCCAGCCCATGCAAATCAAGACATCCTTCTTGCATTCATCCTTGCGTATGCTTACTATTGCACCGAAACTATGCTCAGCGAAACCCCGTCCCGACGCAAAAAATCCCGAGCATACGTTGTGCCGCAGCGTTGCTAGGTCCTTGATGCTGTAGCCGTCCTGAAATTAGGCATCCAGCGTGGAAACGCATGCTAACTGCCAGCGCTCAAGCCGGATCCATTTCCGAGCACATTGAATTACATACCTGATCTGCTCGCATATACCTATATACTGTCGTTCTTATCATGCTCGAAGTCAGATGCCGTCCGCATCACCAAAGCCCAACATAACCCAACAGCAGCAGCAGCTGCAGCAGTACCACCACCACCATCATCCGAATCATACCCACGTCCAAAACCAACATCACCACCATGATCATGAAAACCGGGATCATCGTGGTCATGCAGCAGGTAACTACTTTCGCGACAGAGGAGCAGAAGTTTCGTAGACATTTGTCAGTGTGAGCACACGTCGGTGCGGCTGCTGGTGGGCGCAGCACCAGCTATGTTAAAACCAACTTTCTTAACGGGAATGCTGCAGTGTGCCGAGAATTTAGAACAGTTATTTCAGCAAGATTGCCTATGCAATCTTGCAATCTTGCCCCACTTTGGGCGGGGGGAGGTGGGGGGGGGGGAGGTGGGGCGTGCAAGCTTGGTAAACTAGTCGGCGAGCAAGTGGGGCAAGCGAGCAAGATGACCAACATTGTAAGATTGCTGGCAATCGATTGACCAAGATCGCAAGATGACCAAGATTTTCAAGACGGTTCCACAAAAACAATTGTTCTAAATTCCCGACACAATGGAATGCTGGCTGCCAAGAGATACACAAAACTCAACAACCCAGAAACAAAGTAGTCTAGTCGGTGGAGTCGATGGTCAATGTTGCTACAAAGCTAGCCTAACCGCGGAAGTCTTCTTTCAACAGCAGCACTACAAACCACACGAACACAGAACAGTTGAAATGGCACTGCCACTCGCGACATCATTTTGATAAGGTGCACATTCGCAGCCATACGTCGTGTGCGTGGGCTGATGCAACTTAGGAACCATCATCGCCGTCGCTTACTAGTAATGTTCGCCTGAACATCAGGTCAACAGCACCATCGCGCATTCGGCGGTGACAACAAACGTGCCTGATCGTGCTTGTTAGTTCAAGCCCATGACTGCGCGGCAACCGGTCCAGTCCTTTGGGTGGACGCCCAGCATGGACTTGCAAATGAGCACAGAAACGAGCCGTCGTCGGTCATCTGCCGAGTGAACCTGTGAGGCTAGGGGAATCTGAAGTCGCTATCGGGGGAAAGTCAGCACACTCTAAGAAACCCGTATGAAGAACATCAAAAGGTACGTGACAGTCGTCGAAGAAGGCACGTCGCTCGATCCGGTGCGGTCTTGAGTTAGATGTTAGCCTGGCCACTTCTGGCTGCTCGATCTCAGATAGATTTCGTTCGAGAGTGATTTCGTACAATTCTCAACAACTCTGCATCTCAAGAACCTTCGAGAGAGGATCTGGAAAACAGGAGAGCTTACGAGAAGGTTGCGAAACATAAAAGCCTGACCCCAGGACTGAGGGAGCAGCGAGGATTCGAGAGCGACTTTGCTGCCGTAGGTACTCCATGTTCTTCCTCGGCAAGCAGAGCGAGTGTGTTAGGGTGTCGTAAGGGAACTTTAGTTTTCGATATTATCCGCTCTTTAGGGAACCAGGGTCCACGTGAAGTTTGGCAAGATGCCATATCTCCGGCATTGGCAACATCGACGTGAAGCGAGATGTATAAGCCTAGTGATTGTGATACCAGCTTTCGGGTGGATCCGAAGGCATTAGTCGCACAGAACCTGTACTATGCGCTTGCGCTTCGAAAGTTGGTAGCATGCACAAGGGCTTGACAGCAGAAGCACCAACCACAACACCAGCAGCAGCAGAAGAAGCAGCAGCTCGAACAATAACCCCGCCATCACTGATCACTGCAACGAGAGCAGCAACAGCAACGAGAAGAACAACAACGCCAGCACCGCCGCCAACGCCAACAGCAACAGCGGCAGCTGCTGCTGCTGGAGCAGTAACAGCACCACCAGCCCCACAAACGAAAACCAACACGTGACATTGAAACCAATCCCGCCCGTACAGCACTTAGACTTAGTCGATTTATTCCCACGACTACCACTGCGGCTGCCACGTCTGCAGCTGCAACCGTTGCTACCTCTTCTAATCTTTGTGGCGATGACCGACCACGCCAATGAACCACACGGAGCAACAACAAAGGACAACACAGCAACAGCAGCAGCAGCAGCAGCAGCAGCAGCAACAACAACAACAACAGCAACAACAACCAACAACCAA